ATGAGGGAAAGATTTGTTTAAAGGCAAAACTGGGGCTTTTAAAGAAGCCTATTTGGAGCTGGATGCGTAATTCAAAAGCTTAAGTATGAGTGTCTTGGATAAGATTTAGTTTTATGAAGTTTTGCACAAGGTAGGACTGTTACTTAAAACAGACTACTCTTGGGTGTGTTCTTTCCTCATTACAGAGTATTCCTGTATATTCAGAGGGATAGCTATCTGCTGTGTTGCAACTTCCCTGATTCACAGAATTGGAAAAGAGATGGAGTCACTGGGGTCATTTCTATAGGTCAAGCCAGTTCTGCATGACACTAACTCATAGTTTCATCCGCCAGTTGTTGCACTGAGCCACTACTGTGGCTCAACTACAATGTGTGTTTTAGAAGGACGCTCTTAAAATACATCATTCTTTGCTCAGTAGAGAATCTGCCTGTACCCTGTGGTAACGGGGAGTGTCAGAGAAACTAGGAGTTTCTTCATTTTTCGTAGCTGCCATTATCCACTTCAGACTTACTTGCTGCCATTTACCAACCCATGGATTACAGTGGTATATGTTAGGTTAAAGAGCTCTGTGGCATTCTCTTCCAACCAGAAATGAATGAGAAGCCTTGCTGTGTGTTGTGTGCAGTTTTGCAATTGTTGTTGGGTTTGTATGCCTTTCAAACCAGTGTTTTTTTCGAAGTTTCAGGCATAGTTTGTAAATGGGAAGTCAGTATGGTTGGAATTCCAGATAGAGGAAAGTATTTGGAAATCTATGGAATTATCTCTGATTACAGAGAGATTTATTTAACAAATGTGGATAGCCTCCCAATAGTGTACAGTTAATGTTCCCAGTTCTAGAAATATTTGTCTGAAGCGGATTATCTAGAACCAAAATTAAGTTCCTTAGAAAAAAAAAATGCTTTTCAGGCATTCTAAGGAATCACTACTGTAAGTCTTCCTTATCTCTGAAAATCAGCCCGTAGTATTTGTGTTTGAATGTAGGTTGAGAAGTGTGTGATTCAGATGCAGAGACTTTATTGATTTTTCAGTTAAAATCATTATCCCAAGCAATTTGGTGCTTTAATAAAATTCCAGTCATGAATGTCAACTTTCTGAAACAATATAAGGGGGTGGGGAGCAGCAAAGGACATAAGAAAACCCAGGAATTGCTACGTGGAGCCATAGAGAAATTCCCGTTACACCACACTACCTCCTTGTTCAACTGTCTTTAGCAGAATTTCACCAGCCCTTACAATGAAGTTTCATTTTCTGACATTAACTATGAGACGAATTTAAAAATTAATAGTAGGTGTCAATGTATGTGACAATTTCTATATGCACCACCTTTAGAATTGCCATCTTGCTTTTTTCCTGCCTTGCTTGTCTAGGCTGTAAGTGAAGACCAGCCCTGCAGCAGCATGGGTTGGTTTATCCAATGGGTCCTTGCTATGATCGGAAAGAACTAGCATTTGGTGAGACCAGAATGAGCAACTGCAGTCATGAACTGGAAGGGTTAGATTTTTGAAAAACATTCAGCCTAGCCCAGCAGTTTATTTGGCAGTCAAACCCCCCAGCTTCGTATCAATGGGAGAAGGGATGCACCAGTGATAACGCAGGATAATGTTATGGAGGAAAAAAAAAAAAGAACAGGCACATACTGCCATGTTAATGGAGAAGTTATGTGCAGTAAGCAACATCTTAGGGAGTATTTTGGTAAATGAGAGGAAAGGAATTGTGTATCTTTTAATAGAAAGCCAATTCCAAGCACTAGAAGATGTTCAGAAGGCAGACAAGCATGGGATGGACATTTGAATGGAAAACCAAGAGTGGGAGAGAGTCACATTAGAAACAGGAACTATGAGGTAGGACAGATAACGTGGTAGGAGCTCTTCTGGATATTTAAATCTGCTAGTTTTTAATAGTTTGGCTTGGGTTTTAATGATTCAAAAGTTTTGTGAAATAAATTTTGGAAATGTGTCTTTTCATCGACTGAACAGTTCAAGAACCTTTCTTCTAAGAAAAAGTCCCTGTTTCTCTGGTCAGAATTTAGGACAGGAGGAGGACAATTCTGATAGAGATGGGAGGCCTTTGTGCTGACTTCTGATCTGGGATACCGATTTTTTTTTTTCTTTCTCTGTACATGACTTTCACATCTGCCACTGCACTCAAGGACTAAGTCTAGAGTTCTTCCTCTGTGCACAGATGTGTCGTGCTTTAGTGTGTCACATCTCAACTTCAGCTCTCAGCTATGCCATAACTTGCAACGACAGTAATTTTATTAGTGACTGTGCTTTTGGTTGAGCAGGAGTTTGTGCCTGACAAAAAAAATAAGCCATTTTCAAAAGCCATTAGAGCTTTCACGTGAAAACAAAAGCTCTTTTCCCTTTATGAAATACATTTGGTAACTTTGAAACTTCCTCATCTTGTAGCTGTAAGAAGTTATGAAGAGCATGTGGTGCCAAATACATAAAACAATATTTCCTACCACAATGAGGATTTAAATATAGTTACTATGCCTGGCCAGCAGTAGCAGTAGGTCATTATGAAGTGCTGCTTTGCTATTTCTTCCTTGGTTAGCTTAGTATGAAACAATACACCAGCACCGTTATAGAAATGTGGTCTTACTTTATTTCTTTCTGACATTAATGTGCCACCATTAATGTGCCACCTCTACATGTTCATGTAAATATCTGATGAGTTGTGATGCTTGTAGGGTTGTTGTTTTGGGATTAAGCAGCTCTTACATTTCTACTTTTTTAGACTTCACATTGCAAATGGATTGACATCAGTGGGCGTGGAAAACTTCATATGGGAGTACCAGCACTGACTTAGGAATATGTAGGGGTTGGACTTGCACATAATTTTCAGTCTTAAGTAATAAACTTAGTTCTGTTTGTAGAAGTCACAGTTGGTCATTTGAATATTTTCAGTGGACAAGGCGGCATAGTTGGCAGAATTTCCATTCAGGTCTGAAATTTAGAAGAGTTCAGTGATGCTTGTTTTCAGGTGTTCAGTTACATCTGATGATGTTTGTTAGACGGAAACTGAAAGCATGGATGCTTATTTGAATAGGTTAATGTTTATGACTAGAGTTTTCTCTTTCCTTTTTAGATGCCTGCGCAAAGACGTGCAAAGAAAAAATGAAAGGAGCATAAGGAGAGTCGCTAATATTATTTTAACTTGCCATAATCTCAAAGTAGCTTTTAAAGGCTTTTTTTACGCACTTTCTGAAAATAAATGCTTGAAGATAGACATGCCCTGTTCCAAGAAAAAGCAAATCTCAGCAGATTAACATTGTTAAATACACGGTGTGTTAAACATACACTGCTTCAAATTTTATAGCTTACACACTATTGGTCTGTCGGGCCCTTCCAGGAAAGCACTTACGAGCATGCCTAACGTTAAGCACATGAGCAGTGATCTTAAAGTCAGAAGCATTGTTCGTGTGGATAAGTGCTTTGCTGGATCAGCGCCTAAAGTCCTGTTAGGTGCTGAGCATCCTGATCCATATCCAGCAAAGCACTTACATCCATGCTTATCTTGAAGTGGAAGAGCCAGTCTAACTAATATTTGTGCATTAGTGTTCACCATAAAATCTCTATTGGCACAATGATTCACATGCTTAAAATTAAGCACCTGCCTAAGTATTTTTCAAGGTCAGACCAACAGCATCCTTGAGCAAGTCTTAAATAATTACTTGATTTTGTATGAATTTTCTTTTTTTGTATTCTTTTCTAACAGAGTATATGATTTTAGTGGCCGTAATTACAAGTTTTAGAAGCTGCATAGCAAAGTATGTTGTATGCAATTTTCTCCTTTTTCAAAATCTAGCCAAATTCAGCAAGATGGCCTTTTTGGACTAGAAATCCAATATTCAGACTTAGAATCATCCAAAATGAAAAAAAGTTAACTCTATTTTTAAGACATTTACATTTTTTTAAATTATTTCACTGAGTTTCATTTAAATGGTTTTGTCCAACCCCAACCTTTTATCCAGAAGATGTCACCTAGCTCTGGTTGTGTGGACAGTCTGCTCTTGAAGTGCTAAAGCTTGAGGTAAGTTGTGTGTTCAGAAGGGCAGATGGAGAAGTTGTATTTTGATTTTACTCCTTTTTATCTAAGGGATTGAAACCTTAGAAACATGTACAAAATAACATGTACATTTTGTGTTGAGAACTAAACCAAAACCTATGTAATCCTCCAGGTAAAAAAGAGACCTACTTATTTATTTATTTTTTAATCACGTAAGAGACACTTTCTGTGGAGTGAACTTCAACCAAAATGTCA